TTCAACCTGCCCCTGCTTGTGGCTTCTACCTAGGTCAAAGCTAAGGAGGTTACGGTGGTGGTGGGGGGGGGGTTGAGCATGGTGATGGTCTTCTCTCCTCTCTCTCTCCCTCCCTCTCTCCTCTCCTCTCTCCTCTCTCTTTCTCTCTCTCTCTCTCTCTCTCTCTCTCTCTCTCTCTCTCTCTCTCTCTCTCTCTTTTTGCTCTTTTTGTGTGTTTTATGCCTTTGGCTTTAGTTTTAGGGCCACACCCTGAGCAGTGCTTATAGGTCTTTATTCCTACGGTCTGTCTCTGGTGTTGCAGGGGCTGACGCGGTAAGTACAGCACACGGCCCGCTGGGCTCAACACCTGGCTCCCATAGCCGCCCCCCCGCCCCCCCAGCACTGCCAGGAATAATCCCTGAGCATTGCTGGCTGTGACCCTCAAAAGCCAAAAAGAAAAAATATCTTTGGCAATGCAGAACAAAACCAAAACAAAAGTGGGGGTGGAGATGGGGTTGGCCCTGCTGGGGACAGCACATGCCCTGCGGGCGGGAGCTCCGCATTTGGGCTGTGACAGCTCATGGTCCCCCAAGTGCTGTTTTGGGAGAAGCCACCATCGTGTGTGTGGTGACAGAAGCCAGGTGCCCTCCTCTGGGAGGGAAATGCTTCCTCGAGTGGAAACTCACTCTGTGGGGCTGCCCCGTGCACCACTCTGCTGACAACCTTACAAGATAGACATTCTTGGTACCTGTGATTTGCTTTCAGTGGGGTTGGTGGGGGGTTGGGTGTTTTGGTTGGTTTTGTGTGGTCTTGGGGCCACACCTGGTGGTGCTCCTGGCTTACTCCTGGCTCAGTTCTCAGGGACCACTCCTGGTGGGGCTCGGGCTCCTCTGGGGTGCCGGGGATCAGACCTGGGGGGGCTCCTTATGGGTCATTTCATTTATTTTTATTTATTTATTTATTTTTATGTAGGAGTACTGCTATTTATTCAGCCACTGATTAAGCTGGTTGAATTGGGCAAAAACTCTATCTTACTTTTTTATAAATGTATTTATTGACTCACCATGAGAGCAGTTACAAAGCTTTCGGGTCTAAGTATCGGTCATACAATGAGACACCCGTACCTTCACCAGTGCCCATTCTCCACTCCAACAACCCCAGTATACCCCCATCTCATACCCTCCCCCTACCTGTGGGGCAGATGATTTCCACATTTACTCTCTCTCTACTTTGATCACATTCAATATTTTGACACCAGTCCCACCATTATTATTTGAGATTTTACCCCAACACTCAGATCTGCTGAAAAGGCAACAGTAGACAATTTGTGTTCTATTGCTGGTTATGAATAACATATGATGTCGCGTGGCTGCAGTAGTGGCCGCGTGATTTTGAAATTCTGAAATTTTAACTCTTAAATCTGGAGGGATTTCTGCCAAAACCTGCTGGGTTCCAAGATTTGCTCCTGAGTCTCTGGGATCATGGCCGTTATGCAGCTTGATCAGGATCCAGAAAGGCCATTCGTGGGTGATGACTTGGGTTCTCGTTGGGGTGAGGAGGACAGGACCCGGTCCACCCCCATCCTGTGAGGCCCTGTGTGTCTCATCACTGCGGGCCCAAACCCGACTGTCCAATGGCCTCTGGAGGATGATGGCCACCGAGCTGCCAGGAGGAAGCAGGTGGAGGGACAACACCCTTTCCCCCCTGGGGTGGCCCGGCGACAGTAACCTACTTGTGGTCAGACGCATTTCTGCCAAAAGCCTCTGGGTTCTGAGATTTGCTCCTGAGTCTCTGGGATCATGGCCATTAATCAGCTTGATCAGGCGCCAGAGAGGACGTTTGTAGGCAGTAACTTGGGGTCTTGTTGGGATGGGGAGGAAAGGGCCAGTTCCTGGCGAGGCCCCGCATGTCTCATCACTGCAGGCCCAAACCTGACTGTCCAGTGGCTTCTGGAGGATGGCGGTCACTGGGCCGCCAGGGGGAACAGACCAAGGCACGAAACTTGTTCCCACCTGGAGTGGCCCAGCGCCAATAACCTACTGCAGGAACAGGACACATTTCTGCCAAAAGCCTTTGGGTTCTGAGATTCATTTCTGAGTCTCTGGGATCACGGCCGTTAAGCAGTTCGATCAGGAACCAGAGAGGCCATGCCTCCAGTTATATAGCTGAGCCGGAGGTGGTTTGTGGGTGTGTTTCCCACTTACCTAACTTTTGGCCGTCTACTTTCTTGGTAAACTCTGCCCCAAGTTTTTGGGGTCTCGCCAAAGACACAGCAGCAATTTTGGGGTATCTGGAAGTCTGACGGCGCCATCAGGCTGCTGATGCACTCGCCTCACAGTTACAGATTGGCCTCCTGGTGGCACCATCCCCCCCATTTCATTTATTTTTAAAGTTGTTTTTTTTTAGGAGCCAGTTGCAGTAGTACGGGGGCACTTGCCTTGCGTACAGCTGCCCCCCCCCCAGTTCTGCCCCCAGCGCTCCCTGTGGTTCCCCCAGCACCCTCGGGTGTTTCCCCCAAAATAAATAAGTGAATTGTTTTGGTTTGGGGGCCACGCCTGACATGCCAAAACGCTGCTTGTGGGCTCTGTGCTCCGGGGTCACTCCTGGCCGTGGTCAGGAGACCATGTGGTGCCGGGGGCCCAACCCGGGCCTCCTTCATGCCCAGGTGCCCTCCGGCCCATTGATTGCTCACTCCCTCCAGCTCAGTACATTTTATTTTTCTTTCATGGATTTTTTTCACATTCAGTTTCATATTCCCACACGGGTTCTCTCTTAAGAAGCGAGTCTCGGAGCTGGAGCAGTAACACAGGGGGGAGGGCATTTGCCTTACACGCCGCCGACCCGGGTTCGATTCCCAGCATCCCATAGGGTCCCCCGAGCACCGCCAGGAGCCATTCCTGAGTGCAGGAGCCAGGAGTTACCGCTGTGCGTCGCCGGGTGTGACCCAAAAAGAAAAAAAAAAAAGCGAGTCTCAGGGTCAGACATATAGTTCCGGGTTCAGGTCCTTGCCTTGCCCCAGCTCCACCCCCGTTCAGTCCCTGAGCACCACCTGTGGTGGCCCCCAAACCGGGGAAAAGAAAAAAAACGAACAAAAACAAAACCCAGGCTCTAGAGCACCCACTGTATTGAACCCTCAACTGGAGCAGATCAGATGTAAATAAACGTGATTTATGATTCAGAGGTAGGAGAGCCCTGCAAACTTCCATGCCTCTTAAAAAAATAATAAAATCTTGCATTTGACTTCAGTCACTATTATTAAATTCCAGTGGATTTAATAATACATTTCTTTTTTTTTTTCTCCCTTTTTGGGTCACACCCGGTGATGCACAGGGGTCACTCCTGGCTCATGCACTCAGGAATTACTCCTGGCAGTGCTCAGGGGACCCTATGGGATCCTAGGAATCGAACTCAGGTCGGCCGCCTGCAAGGCAAACGCCCTCCCCGCTGTGCTATCTCTCCAGCCCCAATAATACATTTCTTTTGAGGGGGCTGGAGTGATAGCACAGCGGGGACGGCGTTTGCCTTGCCACATCGATTCTCAGCATCCCATGTGGTCCCCCCCGAGCACTGCCAGGAGTCGTTCCTGAGTGCATGAAACCAGGAGTAACCCCTGTGCATCACCGGGTGTGAACAAAAAAGGCAAAAAAAAAAAAATTCTTTTTTTTTTATTACTTTATTTATTTATTTATTTATGACTAAAGCAACATAGTTTTAAAAATTTTTTTAGCAGCATAGTTTTTATTGAATCTTATATCGAACTACCTGAGGGGAGAGACAGAGGGGAGATGTGTTCAAGAGAGAACACGGGCGGCCAGGAAACAGAAGAAACAGGCGAGGCTGCCGAGCTGTGTCTGACCCCACCCGCCCTGCCCGCTTTGGGTGCCCTTGCTGCGTGCCGGGCGGGGCGGGTGCCCAGAGCCTTCCAGGCCCGTCTCCGGCTCTTCCTGACGGCTCACCTGCTCCATCTTTGTTGCCTTTGGAACCGAATCTCCTGAAAATCAGATATTAGCGCGCTCTATTTTGAGAACAGGAAGGCGGGTGGGGGTTGGATGTCCTCCCGAGGGGAAGTCAAGGGCTATTTGTGGAAGTGGTGGTTGCTGCAGCCACTTTCCCGATCACGTTCGCCCCAGGACAGGGCAGCCAGTCCTTGGGGGCAACTGCCCGACCGAAGCTCTAGACCCACATCAGGACCCCGGGGGAGGCTCTGTCCAGGGGGACGCGAGGCGGCAGGTGGGAGGCTCCCTCCTGAGAGCTCAGCTGCCCCCTGAGACACGGGAGGCGCAGAGTGTGAATCCTGCCCCCTGCACCCCTGCCCGCTGTGCCCGCCAGGCACCCCATTCCCTGTTTACTCAGACCCAACGAGATCCAAGAGTCATGCTCGGCCGGGAGGAGTAGGGATCAGTCTCTTTGTCTTCAGCATCTCTTTGTCGGAGGCTAGATTCCCCAGGTGTCGACCCTGGGGGGGGGGGGGTCTCTTCAAAGCATGTCTCATTTTTTTTTTTTTCTGTTTGGGTCACGCTCAGCAATGCACAGGGGTTACTCCTGGCTCTGCACTCAGGAATCACTCCTGGCGGTGCTCAGGGGACCATACGGGATGCCAGGGATCGAACCTGGGTTGGCTGCGTGCAAGGCAAACACCCTCCGCGCTGTGCTATGGCTCCAGCCCCAAAGCATGTCCCATTTGTTTCTTATTATGCTTTTTTTGTTTTGTTTTGTTTTTTTCTGGGGGTGGGGCGGGAGAACCACACAGGAGGTGGTGCTCGGGACCTCTTCCTGGCTCAGTGCTCAGGGATCACTCAGGGACCATTAAGCTGGGGGGATCGAACCCAGATCAGCCGTGCTCAAAAGGCAAGCCCCCGACCTGCTGTACTCTCTCTCCTGCCCTCGTGCCCGCAAGATTTGTGATGAAGTTGGGGAAGGCTCAGGGGGCTTGTGATCCCCCCTGGGGTCCCATCCGTCTCACTGTCTGCCCCTTTTCTCTCTCTCTCTCTCTCTCTCTCTCTCTCTCTCCCCATCTGCAGTTAAATGAACTGGTGGTGGGCGACACCAGCGGGAAGCTGTCTGTGTACAAGAATGATGACAGCCGGCCGTGGCACACCTGCTCCTGCCAGGGCATGGTTTGTTCTCAGAAGCGTGGGCCGTGCGGGGAGGGACACGGAGTCCTGGCTTGGACCAGTCTTGCTCCGGTCACCGTGTCCCTGAGCTCAGGGACGCGGTGACCAGGGGCTGTGGGTGTTTGTTTGGCTTGGGGGCAAGCGATGGTCCTCAGAAACCAGCCGGTCCTCAGGTCCTGGAGGGCAGGGGGGGCCCAGCGCCCCTCCAGGGGTCTCCCTGAGCCTCCCTCTCTCCTTCTGCAGCTGACCTGTGTCGGGGTTGGCGATGTGTGCAATAAAGGGAAGGTAAGGAGCTGGAGTGATAGCACAGCGGGGAGGGCATTTGCCTTGCGCGCAGCTGACCCGGGTTCGATTCCCAGCATCCCATAGGATCCCCCCCCCCCCCCCGCGCGCACTGCCAGGGGTGATTCCTGAGTGCATGAACCAGGAGTAACCCCTGTGCATCACTGGGTGTGACCCAAAAAAGCAAAATAAATAAATTAATTAAAGGGAAAGTAAGTGCTCAGGAACACGCGCGTGGGCGGGATCCCTGACCTCTGGGCGCCGACCCGCGGGCCCACACCCCTGCTTCGTCCCCCAGTCCCCACCCCTCTGTGCCTCTGTCATCCTCAGAACCTGGTGGTGGCCATCAGCGCCGAAGGCTGGTTTCACTTGTGTGACCTCACCCCCGCCAAGGCCCCGGACGCGTCTGGGCACCACGAGACGCTGGCGGCCGAGGAGCAGCGCCCCGCCTTCAAGCAGCACATCCCAGCCAATACCAAGGGCATGTTGATCAGCGACATCGGTGGGCGTGCGGCCTCTTGGGAGTGCGGGGGGCTGGGGTCCGGGGACTGGCAGCCCCTCCAGTTCTCGGGTCGGTATACCGCCCAGGAAATAGTGGTGCCCCCCCCACCTCTTATTTTTTTCTAAAGTCTTTGGACCGCACCCAGCGATGCTCAGGGGTCACTTCTGGCTCTGGGTTCAGGAATCACACCTGGCAAGGGGCTCAGGACCGTATGATAGGATGCCGGCGAGGGAACCCAGGTCAGACACGTCCAGAGCAAACGCCCTCCCTGGGCTGTCTCTCTCCAGCCCTCCATGCACACTTGCGATGCATGCAGTCGAAAGTTTGGGGGCCATTTTATTGTTTTCGATGACAGCTGGCAGTGCTCTGGGCTCTGCTTGTGGTGGGGGTGAGGGGTGCCAGAGATTGAATCCAGGTCAGCCATGTGTAAGGCAGGCGCCCTACCCACTGGACTAGCTCTCTGGCCCCATTTTGCAAGTACTTTTATTTTTTATTTATTTATGGGCTGGAGCAATAGCACAGCTGTAGGGCGTTTGCCTTACATGCAGCCAACATGGCCGACCCGAGTTTGATTCCTCCGCCCCTCTCGGAGAGCCCGGCAAGCTACCGAGAGTATTTCGCCTGCACGGCAGAGCCTGGCAAGCTCCTCGTGAAGTATTTGATATGCCAAAAACAATAACAACAAGTCTCACAATTTGTTGTGAGATGTTACTGGTGTCCGCTCGAGCAAATCGATGAACAACAGGAGGACAGTGCTTATTTATTTATGGCTTTTGGGACCACACCCAGCGATGCTCAGGGGTTACGCCTAACTGCACTCAGGAATCACTCCTGGCAGTGCTTGGGGGACCCAGTGCGATTCTGGGGATTGAACCCAGGTTGGCTGTGTGCAAGGCAAACGCCCTCCCCACTGTGCTATCGCTCCCGCCCCTTGAGTCCTTTTTTTTTTTTAAATTTTTTTTTAACCAATTTTATTTATTTATTTTGCTTTTGGGGGTCACACCCGGCGATGCACAGGGGTTACTCCTGGCTTTGCGCTCAGGAATTCCTCCTGGCGGTGCTTAGGGACCATACGGGATGCTGGGAATCGAACCCGGGTCGGCTGCGTGCAAAAGGCAAACGTCCTCCCTGCAGTGCTATCGCTCCAGCCCCTTTAAATCAGCTGTGATTCCGCACCTGGATTTGTCACGGTGAACGAAAAGACGGAAACTGGGGCTGGGGGCCAGGGAGAGCCCAGAGGGCGACGGTGCAGGCTGGAGGCCCCGGGTGGTTCCCCAGCATCACCAACTCCCTGCACACCCGCGGGGTGCAGCCCCAGCACAGCTGCTGTGTGTCCCTCCCTATCCCCCCCCCCCAAAAAAAAAAGTAGAATTTGAGTCCAGGAAGAGAGCCCCAGGGCTGGAGCACAGGCTCTGCAGGGAGGGGGTGCTCCCCCCGCCCCCCGCCTCCTCCCTCCAGTGCTGCCCAGAAACTGTGGCTTGAAACCAAAAAGAGAAGAAAATTTTGCTGCCCTTCCCAGTCCTTTGCTCCGAAGAAACAATATAAAGACAACGAAACAGGGACTGGGGCCATAGTACAGCAGGCAATGCTTACCTTGCAGGTGACTGGCCCCGGGTTCCACCCACAGCCCCCCACGTGGCCCCCTGGAGCCCTACCATGAGTGTCCCTGAGCACAGAGCCAGGAGGCGCCCGAGCAAACAAACGTGCCCACGGGGCTGGGAGGTGACTCAGCAGTCAGTGCTTGCTTGTATGTGACCCCTGGTACTGCAGTCAGCAAAGTACTTATTTTTTCAGTGCCGGAGGGAGAAGGGGAGGGTCTGGGGCCACACCGGCAGTGGTGGTCTTTTACTCTTGGCTCTGTGCTCAGGGATCATGCCTACCAGGGCACCAAGCCCGGGTCAGCTGCGTGCCAGGCAGATGCCCTCCCCAGTGCACGGTCCTCCCTCATTCCTAACCGCAGCAGGGTCTGAATCTAGTTATTGGCTTTTTGGATCATGACAACATTTGCCCACGACCAAGCTCTTAACTTACAGTTAAGCATGATGGCACTGGGGCTGGAGCGATAGCACAGCAGTAGGGCATTTGCCTTGCGCGCAGCCCAGCCTGGCCGAGCCAGGTTCGATTCCTCCGTCCCTCTCGGAGAGCCAGGCAAGCTACCGAGAGTATCCCGCCCGCACGGCAGAGCCTGGCAAGCTCCCCGTGGCGTATTCGATATGCCAAACACAGTAACAACAACTCTCACGGTGGAGACGTTGCTGGTGCCCGCTCGAGCAAATCGATGAACGACGGGAGGACAGTGCTACAGTGCATTATGGCACTTTGGCCAGACCCATCTCGATGCCACGGTATCACATAGCTCACCGCTTGCCCTGGGTCCATCCAGTCCCTCATCGGGACCCTGCTTTTGGGGGTGCTAGGAAGTAAGGGCAGCTGAGGCTTAAGTTGCGAGAACAGAGCTGGATTTGTTGGGTTACTCCCATCACAGTGGTCACATTCTTCTGGGTTTACTTGTCACTTCTTTCTGTCTGCTCTGTTGACTTGTAAATATTGTTTTTCTCTTCCCCTTAAGTCCTCTGCATAGTTTAATTCAGAGCGATGCCCTTTTTTTTTTTTTTTTGCTTTTTGGGTCACACCCGGCGATGCTCAGGGGTTACTCCTGGCTCATGCACTCAGGAATTACTCCTGGCGGTGCTCGGGGGACCATATGGGATGCTGGGAATTGAACCCGGGTCGGCCATGTTGGCTGCGTGCAAGGCAAACGCCCTACCCGCTGTGCTATCGCTCCAGCCCCGCCATGTCCTTTTAGTATGGGCACAAGAAGACAGTTAATGCTATGTTTCTGTAACGTGGGAGCTAATTGACTCCAGATAATATCGCTGTCCTCCCTCTGTCTGGAAGGTGAATGGACGGCAAGAATCAGGCCCCGTGGGTTGTGTCTCCAAGAGAACACGGGAAGTGCCAGAACTTATGGAGCGGGGCTAGAGGGGCGTGTGTGGGGGGGAGAGCTGCAGGGGGGCCAGGCGTTGGCTTCCAGGCGAGTCTACTGAGTGGTGTGACGTTAGCGGGGCAGGGGGGGGATGGGCCGCGTGGAGCATCCCGGGAGCACCATGGGGCCTCCACGCTCATCCTGGGCTCTGCCTCCAGACGGAGATGGACGCTTCGAGTTGTTACTCGGTTACACGGACCGGGTGGTTCGCGCCTTCCGCTGGACGGACCTGGGCGAGGGCGCCGACCATACAGCTGGACAGCTGGTGTCACTCAAGAAGTGGGTACTGGAGGGGCAGGTAGGCCAGAGGCCGGGCGTGGCACGGAGCTCCTGGGATGGGGAGGAAGGGGGGGGGGAGAGCAGTTGGGCCTGGCTGTGACGCGGGAAGAAGGACGGGTCCCCGCAGAGGGGGTCTGTCCCCGGCGGGGTCTTGGAGGGGACGGTGAGTGAGGGCAGTGCGGAGGGATCCCAGGGCAGGTCCCGGCTGCACCCACGTGGGGGCGACCCCGGGCAGGCTCCCTGTGGGCTCTCCCCCTCGGCTCCCGCTCAGCCCCCGTCCCCCGGCACAGGTGGACAGTCTGTCTGTCATGCCAGGGCCCCTGGGCACTCCTGAGCTGATGGTGTCGCAGCCCGGCTGTGCTTATGCCGTCCTCCTGTGCACCTGGAACAAGGACCCCGGGGCCCCTGCCGCCTCCGAGGGGGGCACGGAGGCCAACAGGTAAGGGGAAGCCAGCCTGGGGTCAGTGATGTGGGGTGCCTGGAGGCGGCCTCAGTTCTGTGGCCCACTGAAGATGGTTCTCGGGGGGCCCCGGAACACAGGGATTTCCCCCCCCGGCCCCCCCCCCCCCCCGGTGGTCCCCAGAAGACGCTGACAAGGTCCCGCCCTGTCTTTCCCACCTGCTGCTGGGCACACACGCCCAGCAGACTGAGCGATCGGTTTCGAGGCTGCTTCACCTTCTAGGGGCTCTCAGAGCAATTGTGGCCCACCCAGGTCCTGGGGAACTCGGCCGTGGGGTCCCCCCCGTGACCCTCTACTCCCCACAGGGATGCCCCGGCTCCCGAGATGTTGTGCTGCACCAGACATCTGGCCGCATCCACAACAAGAACGTCTCCACACACCTGGTCGGCGACATCAAGCGAGGTAGGTGGGGGTTCGCACGCTGGCGGGGCTACAGGAAGGACCACCCGCGTGCCTTGGCCCCTCACCCATCTGCTCTGGTCTTGCCCGTCCGCCCCTGTGTCCATCGGTCCCACCTGCAGGCCACTCCCCGGACAGCAGTGGCTCTGGCCTCTTTGCTCTCTGCACGCTGGACGGTGAGTTTCCGGCGTTAGCCTTGCTGGTGGGGGTGGGGGTGGGGGGATGGGGGGGCGGCATGCCCCAGGGTGATGCCCCCAACCTGGCCCCTCTCCCCGCTGCAGGGACACTGAAGCTGATGGAGGGGGCCGACAAGCTGCTGTGGTCTGTGCAGGTGGACCATCAGCTGTTCGCCCTGGAGAAACTGGATGTCACGGTGGGTGGACGCCACGGTTCCCCAGACACCCTTCCCGGGGTGGGGGGGGGGGCAGCACCCACCCCCCAGCTCCCGCTCTGCCAGCGTCCTGTTTGTTGGGGGTGGGGTGACCGGTGGGGTGGGAAGGCGAGGGAGCCAGCCAGGGCTGGGCACTGCCACCCTGTGAGCCATGGACCAGGTTCCGACGGGGAGCTCTGCGGGTGCGGGTGCTGGGGCGGGCACCCCGGGACCCCTCGTATGAAGCACACTTCCTCCCTCCCGGCCCTCGCCTGCACCTTCAGGACAGTAGAGCCCTCTCGGGCTGCGTCCCCCACGCTCCAGGACGCTGAGCGTTTGGTTGCTAGTGTTTGGGGGGTGAGGGAAGCCAGTCCTGTGGCCTCCCACAGTGCGGCTGGGCCAGCCTTGTTCGCTTACTGCCCTGCTGGACAAGAGTTGGGGGGGGGTCAGCGCTTTCCTGCAGAATAACGGCTTCAAAGAGAAGCCAGTTCCCAGGAGGGCCTTCCGGAGTGACTGATGAGTCCTGGCTCCGGATACGCTTTATTTTTCTTCTCCAGTTCTGTTTCTCCGAGCTGTGTGTGGCGCTGCCCCGGGCGTGGGGGTGGGGCTGCCGTTAGTGCCTCCCCCCCCCCCCCCCACCACCACCACACACACACACACACAGCCAGGCTGTGTGTCCTGAGTTGCCTCTGGCCTGGCCCAGCGAGCTGGAGCGATCACTTTGTTTCCATAAGCTCCTGTTTCCTGAGCATGAAATCGGGATGGCGACTGTCTGCTTTGCCTGTCTGCTCCCCGGCATTACGTAAGGGCCCTCGGCTGGCAGCCCCGCCTCGGTGCCCGGCGCAGGGGAGGGTTTCCTCTGCAGCCGGCCAGCTGCGGCCAACCCGCCTCCCTCAGCTCTGCCACCCCAGCCCTCTCCGAGACGGCTCCTGGCCGCTCCTGCATCCTGCCCGGGGCCCCTTCCAGGGCGACGGGCAGGAGGAGGTGGTGGCATGCGCCTGGGACGGACAGACGTACATCATCGACCAGAGCCGCACCGTCGTGCGCTTCCAGGTGGACGAGAACATCCGAGCCTTCTGCGCAGGTGGGCAGCCGTTTGCTCTCTCAGCACACCCCTGCCGTAGTCCACATGCACAGTCTCACAGGCACAGTCTCACAGACACAGACTCAGACACAGAGACACACAGACACATACAGAAACACACAAAGAGACATATACAGAGACACATAAACACACAGACATGCGCGCGTGCGCACACACACACACACACACACGTGTGTTTTGGCCCTCTGGTTAGAGGGCTGGGGCTGGGCACTCGGTTGCCTTTTTTCCCTAACGCAGGGGACACAAGAGACAGTGAATTTCCATCTCTGAGTGTTACATTTACTTATTTGGATTCGGGGGGGGGGGGGCCACACCCAGCAAGGCTTACAGGCTCCTCCAGTCCCTGTGCGAATCACTCCTTCCTTTCTAAATTTTTTTTTGTCTTTTTGGGTCACACCCAGCGATGCTCAGGGGTTATTCCTGGCTCTGCACTCAGGAATTACTCCTGGTGGTTCTCGGGGGACCATATGGGATGCCGGGGATTGAACCCAGGTCGGCCGCGTGCAAGGCAAAACGCCCTACCCACCATGCTATCACTCCGGCCCTCCTTTCTAAATTTTTTATTATTTTGGCTCTGGAGCCACTCCAAGCCATGCTCAGGGGTTCCTCCTGACTCTGCATTTAGGAATTATCCCTGGCGGTGCTGGGGGGACCCTATGGGATGCTGGGGATCAAACCAGGGCCGACTGCATGCCAGGCGAGGACTTTATCCACCGTGCTCTCTGTGGCTCTGACCCCTGTGCTTAGTAAGGAACCCCCTTGGTGGTGCTTGGGGGGCCATGCGTGGTTCTGGAGATTGAACCAGGGTCCCCCACGAGTGGGACCCGCACCCTCCCCGCGGTCCTGCCTCTGAGTATTTGTAGGCAGGGTGGGGGGATGTGTGAAGACTGGGAAAGTGTTTTCCCACCAGACACCGTCAGAACTCTGGGCTCGTCCCCAGCCGAGACCTCGGTGGCAGCAGGAATCTCCTATGGGGGTCCAGGAAGAGCTTTGGCCACTGAGGGATGGTCGGGAGCGGCCCGTGTGGGTTGGTTGCACATGCCACAGCCTGAGCTGGGCTGGGCTGGCCGCCACGTCAGAGCCTTGCTCTCTGCCCCCTGGACGGTCAGCCCTGCTCCCCGCCGCTCATGTCCCCAGAGCGTCCTCGGCGACCAGCCGACAGTGCTCAGGGCTTGCTCCTGGCTCAGGGGACCACTCCTGGTGGTGCTCAGGGAACCAGATGTACCCGGGATGGAGCCGGCTTGGTCACAGGCAAGATAAGCACCTCATCCCGGCACGTACTTTCTCCCCGACCCCTGGCTCTCGTTCCTGTGGCACCCCACGCCCAGGATGGCCAGGAGGGTACTGAGTGCCCTGCGGAATAGGGCCGTGGCGCTGTGGGGTGGGTGGGTGCGCCGCACTGGCTGTCTCACCGTGCACTGTGGGCCCCCAAACTTGTTCTCCTGCCCCCTAACCTCCCCCCCCCCCCCGCCCCAGGCCTGTACGCTTGCAAGGAGGGCCACAATAGCCCTTGCCTCGTGTACGTCACCTTCAACCAGAAGATCTACGTGTACTGGGAGGTGCGGCTGGAGCGGATGGAGTCCACCAACCTGCTCAAGGTGCTGGGGCCCGACCCCGAGTACCAGCGCCTGCTGGCGGAGCTGGGCGTGGGTAAGCGGCAGCGCCGGCCAGGACACGCCCGTGAGACCCTCTTCATCTGGTTGGGGGGACGGGGGTGGCAGTTCTTGGGGTCCCCAGTAGTACTCTCCCGTCCTGCACACACGGGTCTACACCCGCAGTGCTCAGGGCTCACTCCCAGCTCTGCACTCGGGGACTCACTTCCAGCAGTGCTTGCGGGGGGGACCCTGTGGGGTGCTGGGTGGGGATCGAACCTGAGTCCGACACCCTCCGGCTGTGCAGTCACTCTGGCCCCCTACTTCCGTTCTGAGCTGGCAGGATGTGCTGCTTGCGCCCAGTTGAGCTGGCGCTGGCCGCCCCCTCGGGGGCCCTGGCGGGGTCTGGGAGCCGTGTGGCCGGGGGGATCGGCCTGGGTTCCTTGGGCATGCACAGCATACATCCCTGTCTCCATTGCTGACTCCCAGTCCACCAGCTTTCTTTTTTTTTTTTTTTTGCCTTTTGGGTCATACTTGGTGATGCACAGGGGTTACTCCTGGCTCTGCACTCAGGAATTACCCCTGGCGGTGCTCAGGGGACCCTATGGGATGCTGGGAATCGAACCCGGGTTGGCCGCGTGCAAGGCAAACGCCCTACCCAGCCCCACCAGCACTTTTTTTGTTGTTGTTCATTTTTAAGCCACTCCTGCCAGGGCTTACTCCTGGCACTGTACTCAAGGGCTGACTCCTACTGGACCCATATGGGGTCCTGGGTTTCAAATCCTGGTCTGTCCCCTGCAAGACAAGCCCCATAGCCTGTTTGTACTGTCTCCCTGACCTGCCACCCCCCCCCCCAAAACACACACACACACACACACACACACACACACACTGTCTGCCCCCCCTCAGATCCTGACGACCTCCCAGCTGCCCGTAACCTGCTGCACCAAATCCTCTACCGTCCGGATCAGCCTCTGCAGGACACCCCTGCTGGCCACCAGGACCCCACCTAGCTGGGCCGGCCCAGATGCAGCAGAGGATTGAGACCCCCCCTCCCCCATGACCCTCGTGTTCGTGGTATTGGCTGGAAGAGGGACCACATTCCAGAGGAGCGTGCAAGGACGACGGTGACCCCCGGGGGACCTGTGAAACCGCGTCGCCCTCGAGGTGCTCTTTGGTGGAAGAAGTGACACATGAACACAGTCCGTTTCCTTTTCACGGCCGCAGGGCTGTGGGGTCTGCACTGTCCCTGCCCCCCCCACCCCCCCCCGCCCACCCCGCCAGCCCAGACCTACCCTGCTGAGAGCCGCCACCCTCAGGAAAAGGAGCTTGTCTGCGAGACAGGACAAATGACAAATGACTGGGGTCGGTCAGGGCAGGGGCTGGGACTCTCACCATGGGGGCTAACCCAGGAGCCACTCCTGACTGCGGCTCAGGGGACCAGCGCTGTGCCCAGGGATGGGGCACGTGGGATCAGACACACACGCTTTCTACCCTTCTGGGGGACAGCCGCGCCGTCAGGCAGGGGCCGGGTGACTCTCCCTTGCCACCTCCCGCGGCCTCGGGCATCGCCGACTTGAGTCCTTCCCCTGGGACTGGCACGCGGGGTTGGCTTTCAATTCTGCTGTCTGGACATCTGTGTGCCCAGCAAGTCTGGTGGTTTGCCTCCACTGACCCCTGAGAGCCAAGTGCAGGGGCCAGTGCTGGGCCCTCCTGCCGCCGCCCCGCACTGCCGGCCTCTGGGACGGGAGACCACCCCGTGTGTGGCACGCCGCATCCTGACCCATTTGCATTCCTGCAGTGGGCCCTGGGTGCCTTGATGGGGGTGCTCTTCAGGTTGCTGGTTGCAGACTTGGGGGGTGGGGGGGTGGCATCTCCCCCACCAAATCCAGCAGTTTGGGAATAAATGCAAGCGGGCGGAGACTGCCCGAATCCGTTGCTTGCAGCTGAGGGCAAGGTGCCCCGGGGCCTGCTGCCCGCCTCTCCTCCCAGGGAGGGAGGGCTGGGTGACGCTCAGGGAGCAGGACGCCAGAAGGGCAGCAGAGGCCTTTATTCCAATGGAGAGCAGCTGAGGAGGGCCCGCCCAGGGCCCAGGGCCTGCAATGACCAGCAGCGGCAGGAAGCAGAGGGGGCAAGAGCAGAAGGCCCAGGAAGGCGGAGGTGATGGTACAAAGGCAGTGAGCCCTTTCCCCGTGCAGGTGGGGAGGCCCGGGCGGCTGGTCTGTCACTCAGTGTTGCTCAGGGCTTACACCCTGGCTCTGCATTCCGGGGTCACTCCCAGCAGGGCTCGGGGAGCATGTGGGTGCTGGGGATCAAATCCAGGTTGGCTCCAGGCAAGGCCAGCGCCCTCGGGTCAGCGTCTCGCTCCTCTTCCACCCGGCTCCAGTTCCACTTAGTCCCCAGCGGCCACCACCCCCTCTTACTCTCTCCCAGTGCAGGAAAGGCTCCCCGGGTCTGGCTCCTGAGGGTCCCGCCTCTCCACAGGAAAGACTGCAGAGGGGCTGCATCTCTCTGCTCGGACTCTGGGGGGTGCCAGAGAGCCCCGAGTCCAAATCCAGACAGGTCCACCCACACCCAGGGCCTCAGAGGTGAGTGACAGGGAAGTGGGCCCCCCGAACCGGAGCCTTCTAGAATGAAGGGACTTGGGGTGGGGTGGGTCAGGGACCCGAGCACCCCGCTTTCCCCGCAGCCCCCCTGTGGGGGCGGACACGTGGTCGGGCCCGTGGGTGGCCGGTTCAGCTGCCGTCTCAGCGGGAGGGCCAGCTTGGGGACAGGGCCACACACACACACACACACCCGAGAAACTCATCATGCTCGTCCCGCACGTGGCTGGTGGCTGACCCCACCCTCCCACCCCACACCTAGGCTTTGCAGGATGGGGGGGGGGGGGCCCGGCTGCTGAGGGGTCTCCTGGGGAAGAGACCCCAAGAGGTGACCTGAGGGACAGGTATTTGAGGGGGTGGAGCTGGTGGACAGCCACCCTCCTGGGTCCTTTCTGCGAGGAGAGGAAGTGGGGGAGGGGACCAGACGCTGAGTGCAGACTCCCAGGGGGCCAGCAGTCTCCTGGAGAAGCAGAGCGGGGAATGTGACGGCGGGCAGTGGACAGGGGGCAGCCGTGGTCACGGGTCCGGCTCCTGGTCTCCGGGCAGAAAGGGCAGCTCGGGGAAGGGGGCTCTTGGCCGCAGCACACCTCGCTCCAGGTCGATGCAGCACTGGGGGCGACACAGGTGACCCCACCTCCAGCCCTCTGCTTCCCGCCGCTCCACCCCCCCCCCCTTGGCCCACCGGGGGGCAGCTGCCGCCTTACCTTGAGGGAAAGCAGAGTCTGCAGCCCGAGGCAGAATTCAGGGCTCTCCGCGTCTGGGGGAGGGGGTGGCTCCAGAGGAGGTCGGGTGCTGCCCACCCTGACACCCCCCCCCCATGCAGGCTGGAATCAGGGCCCAGAGCCCCCCGGGGAGAGGACTTACCCACCACCCGAGCCGAGCACGACACTGTCTCCTGGCCCAGCTGCAGCTCCAGCTGTTGTACCTGGGCCGGCCCGGCTGCCGGGACCCCTAGCCTGTGGTGGGCAGAGCTGCTTTGGCCGCGGTCCTGGCCCCAGGAGCTGACGCTCCCCCTATATACTCAGACTTCGGGCTCTCACCTAACCCTGCCTTCTCCCCTAGAGCTGCTGGGGGTTTGTCTCCCATCAGCTGATTTCAGTAAGAGGTTAGCGGAGGTGGGAGCTAGAGCTCGTGCATCCTGAGTTCTTAATAGCTGTCAAGTCAGAGGTTTTTATTTTGTTTTTAATTTTTTTTTTCTTTTTGGGTCACACCCGGCAATGCTCAGTGGTTACTCCTGGCCCTGCACTCAGGAATTACTCCTGGAAGTTCTTGGGGATGCTGGGGTTCCCCGAGCACAGGATCCCACATGGGATGTTAGGGATCGAACCAAAGTTGGCCACGTGCAATGCAAACACCCTCCCCACTGTACTATTGCCCTGGCCCCCAGATTTTTATTACTTTTTGACTTGCTTTTGGGTCACACGCACCCAGCGATGCTCATGGGTTTCTCCTGCCTGCCCTCAAGAATCACTCCTGGGGCTGGAGAGATAGCACAGCGGGTAGGACATTTGCCTTGCACGCGGCCGACCCGGGTTCGATTCCCAGCATCCCATATGGTCCCCTGAGCACCGCCAGGAGTAACTTCTGAGTGCAGAGCCAGGAGTAACCCCTGTGCACCGCCAGGTGTGACCCAAAAAGAAAAATAATAAAAAAAAAAAAAAGAATCACTCCTGGTGGTGCTCAGGGGACCCTGTGGGATGCTGGGAATCGAACCCAGGTCAGCTGTGCGCAAGGCAAACGCCCAACCTGCTGTACTATGACTCCACTTCCCTCAAGGTCTTCAGTGTACTCGGACATGGTGACCAGCACAATCTAACCTGGGAATATCTTCATCCCCTTCCACAAACCTCCCCCACCTTGCACCCCAACTCAGGGCTGGTTCTTACCCCAGCCTGCGGAGGCATCCCGCCGAGATCTGATTGTGCTGGGTACCCGTGTCCACGGCCGCTCGGAGCACCTGGTCCCGGCACTGAGACAGAGGGGCCGCCGTGATTCCTGGGGGGCGCAGGATCGGGGGCCGCCCCGCCTGTCCCAGCCCGCTCATGCTTCTCTTTCAGAAATGAGTGAAGGGAGGAGCTGAATCCTTAAAAATGATTTTTATGGGGACACAGCTGGCTGAGGCCACACAGACCCCCCAGAAACGGGATCCACAGAGGCACTAAGCAACGCAGTGAGTGCTACACTTGGGAACGTTCTGGCCGGAAGCAGGGACATACGTGTTGAGGTTGCAGGGGTCGGGGGGGGGGGGGAGGGGGGCTGGGGGCATCTGATTAGAGGATTCCAAGTCCACCCTAGAGAGAAGCGGAGAGTCACAACGCCGGTGAGGATGTGCAGATGTGGCCGCAGCGAGGTCGGCTGCTGCTCTTGGGACCCACTGGGACCCACTGCACTTGCATCTCACAGATCCGGCGGTTTTCTCATGCCAGACGTTGCGTGAGCATCTGCTGTGCGCCTGAAGGTGGCTAGGAGCACAGCAACTCATGCTGCTGTTTTCGAGTGTGAGGGAGGCTAAGCCAGAGGTTAAAGCACTTCCCCAGCCTGTGGCCCGCCCCGTGCGGTCCCCACCACTGCCCCTCACCCCCGCCATCAGCACATCCAGGAGAGGCCCTTGGGCACAGAACTGGGAGGAGCCCCTGAGCACTGCCTGATGTGGCCTTCCGAACAAAAACCTAACAAGGAAAGGCCTTTTTTGGGGGGCTGGAGCGATAGTCCAGTGGGGAGGGCATCTCCCTTGCACATGGCAGACCTGGGTTCAATCCCCACCATCCCATAAGGTCCCCTGAGCAGAGCCAGGAGTACGGCCAGAGCCTGAGCACGGCCGGGTCTGACCCAAAAACAATCACAATAAAGGGAGCCTGAGCCACACACAGTCCACTGGGTAGGGAAGTTGTCTGGCTCACCAATCCGAGTTTGGTCTCTAGGACCTCCAGGAGTGCTCCCTGAGCTCAGAGCCAAGAGTAAAGCCCTGAATACTGCCGAGTGTGGCCCCCCTGCTCCGCCAAAAAAAAAATAAATAAGAAGAAGAAAAGGCCATTGTGAATGCAAAATCAGAAAAGGAGGTAACCACTGAGGCCTAAGAAAGAAATTGTGGGCCGAGGGGCTGGAGCAATAGCACAGCAGGTAGGGCATTTGCCTTGTACACGGCCGACCCGAGTTCGATTCCCAGCATCCCAGATGGTCCCCTGAGCACTGCCAGGTGTGGCCCCCAAACCCCCAAAAGGAGTGATGCCGTTGGGAAGAGAGTCTAAGGCTGCGGGTCAAGGAGAATGGCTCCCCGGTTTCCGTGCAGGTTGAGCAAGGCTGGGACGCTCTCCCCCTCCCTCCCAGCCCCCTCGCCACCCAGGCGTGTGGGAGACGGGCTCACCTTGCAGCTGACCAGTAGGGCTGGGATCTGAGTCTTGCTTGCCTCCCTTCTGCTCTCCTGGCCGCGAATCAGGGCCTGCACCAGGGCAGACTCACCCTGGCGTCCGCTCTTGTTTCCCTCTGCCAGGCGTCTCTGGATCACGCTGCGAGGCTGCTGGCTCCAACACCGAACAAGGAAGATGGTCCAGGCCCCCCCGAAGGCAGGCACCCCCCCCCCCCCCCCGCGCCCTCACCCCCTGCCAGCTCTGCTGGTTGCTTTCCCCAAGCCCAGGAGCAGGAAAGGGTGGGAGTTTATCCAGGTCTCAAACGGTCATTATAAGGGTCAGAGCAGTAAGTCAGTGGGCAGGGCATTTGCCATGGATGAAGCTGACCCAGGTTCAATCCCGGCATCTCGTATGGTTCCCCCCAGCAGCGCCAGGAGTGATTCCTGAGTGCAGAGCCAGGAGGAACCCCTGAGCATCACCAGGTGTGACCCGAAACGCAAAACAAACACAGTCATCATAACCCTGAGAATCCTCATTGAGATCGTGCTGGTTGAGGCCAGAGTTAGCTCAGTGGATTGGGAGTGTGTGCTCTGAAGCAATAAGCCAAAAACCAAACCACCATATCCAAAAATACCATACTATTGGGGCCAGAGCAATAGCACAGCAGGTAGGGCATTTGCCTTGCACACAGCCAACATGGCCGACCCGAGTTCGATTCTTCCGCCCCTCTTGGAGAGCCCTGCAAGCTACCGAGAGTATCTCGTCCGCACGGCAGAGCCTGGCAAGCTCCCCGTGACGTACTCGATAGGCCAAACACAGTAACAACAAGTCTCACGATGGAGACGTCACTGGGCCCGCTCGAGCAAATCGATGAACAACGGGAGGACCGTGACTGTGACAGCCAACCTGGGTTTGATTCCCAGCATCCCATATGGTCCCCATATGGGGACCACCAGGAGTGATTCCTGAGTGCAGAGCCAGGAGGAACCCCTGAGCATCGCTGGGTGTGACCCCCCTCCCCCCCAAAAAAAAGCAAAAAATGAAAATACCATACTCTTAAGTAGTACAGCAGGGAGGGTGCTTGCCTTGCATGTGGCTGACCCAGGTTCGATCCCCAGCACCCCATAGGATCCCTGCAGCCCCACTGGGAGTGATCCCTGAGCACAGAGCCAGGAGTAAGCCCTGTGCATCACCAGGTATGGCACACACACACACACAAAATTCTTATTTATTGGGGGGGGAGGGGTGTAGAGGGGTGAAGGAAGCACACCTGGTAGCACTCAGTGGCCTCCCCCAGCCTTGTGCTCAGGGTTTGTTGCTGGTGGTGCTTGGGAGACGGGGCGGGGGGGAGGGGCCGGAGCCACTGGCCTCCACTCAGAGTCAGCCACGCTGCAGAGCAAGCGTGGGAACCCCTGTACTCCGTCTCTTGTCCTGCCGTTGGTCTAGAACCCTGGTTTGCTGAGAGAGGAGGGAAGAGAAGTCTGCTATTCTAGGTTAGACTGACCTACAGCTGATAGGACCTTTCAGAATTTGGGGTTTGCGGGTGGGGGGGAGATATGTACTTAGGGGGGAAAAATAGTCTCCGGCCTCCAACCTAGTTCTCCCTACTGAGAGCGCTCCCTTCCGTGGGCTGCCGAGCCTGGGGCTGAGGGATGATAAGACACAAATCAAGTTAATGGAAGGCAGCTGGACCGATAGCACAGAGGGGAGGGCGTTTGCCTTGCACACAGCCGACCTGGGTTCGATTCCCAGCATTCCATATGGCCCCCTGAGCACCGCCAGGAGTAATTCCTGCGTGCATGAGCCAAGAGTAACCCCTGTGCATCACAGGGTGTGACCCAAAAAGCCAAAAAAATAAATAAAAACCACAAAGACAATGGAAGGAGAAAGGAAGTCAGGGGCTAGGGGTGCAGCTCCACGGCGGAGCACCCCCCGCCCCCAAAGCACCCCCGGACACACACGCCAGGCCCTGGCTTCAGTTCCCAGCATCAGGGGAAACAGGACAGAAGTCAAAGTCTTCAGAGTTAGGCTGCTGGGGAATCGCCTTTAAGTGTCTTCACCTGCAGTCACCCACCGCCCCCCCCCCCCCCCCCCAGTCTCCCTTTGGTTTGCTGGTCTTGGCAGTGCTGAGGATGGAGCCCAGAGTCTCACACTGCTAAGGCAGGGCCGCAGGGCTCAGCCGCCTTCCCAGCCCTGCCCAGAATGCCTGGCTCCCTCCCTCATTCCTCCCTTCCTCCTCCTCTCTTTCCTTTCCCCTCCCTCCCTCTTTTTTCCTCCCTCCCTCCTTCTCTATTCCTTCCTCTCTCCTTTCCTTCCTTCCTCCTCCTTTCCTTCCTCCCTCCCTTCCCTTCCTCCCTCAGGCCAGGTTAATCTTCCTAGCTCCAGCGGGGTCCTAGTCTCATCGTTACTTACTTTTGGATCACGACAGCATTTGTCCATGATCATGCCCTCAACTTATAGTTGAGTATCGTGGCGCTTTGGCCTGGCCCATTTCGATGGCAGGGTAGCTCACAGCTTGCCCTGGGTCCATTCAGTCCCTCGTCGGGACCCTGTTCTTGGGGTGCTAGGGACTAAGGGCAACTGAGTCAAGAAATCAGATGCCCAGGAGTAAATATTATTCGGAGTCAGTCAACTCCCAAGTTACAAAGCATAATATTAACTGTCTTCCTGTGTCCACACAGAAAGGACATTGCTTACAATACAAGTTCAGTGTCCTGGGATGGGTGTGACCTGACAAACCTAAGCTACCCGAGGAAGGACAAAACAGTGTCATTCTACATTCCTCCTTCCTCCGCTCCTGCTCTCTCTTTATTCCTCTTTCCCTCCCCCCTTCCATTCTTCTCTTTAACCCTTCATTGTGAAAATCTGACACTTCCAGTCTTCGGGTTTGGGGTTTGGCTGGGTTTAGGCCTCAGCCAGTGGTGCTCTGGGTCTCCTGGCTCCAGGCTCACTCCTAGTGGTGGTTCTGTCCTGCCAGGTCTCGCCAGCTGCTCGATAGTGCCCAGGACAGGACTGTGCCTTTGCCCCTTCTCTCTTCTCTGTAACTCTCACACATGTCCTTGAGAGTAAAGGACTATTTTGTTGCTCTGTAGCACTGACGTCCCATTGTTCATCGATTTGCTCGAGTGGGCACCAGTAACGTCTCCATTATGAGACTTGTTACCTTTTTTTTTTTTTTTGCTTTTTGGGTCACACCCAGCAATGCACAGGGGTTACTCCTGGCTCTGCACTCAGGAATTACTCCTGGCGGTGCTCAGGGGACCATATGGGATGCTGGGAATAGAACCCGGGTCGGTCACATGCAAGGCAAATGCCCTCCCCGCTGTGCTATCGCTCCAGCCCCGTTGTTACTGTTTTTGGCATATTGAATACGCCACCGGGAGCTTGCCAGGCTCTGCCGTGCGGGTGAGAGAGTCAGGCTCTCGGGCTTTCCAAGAGGACAGAGGAATCGAACCTGAGTCAGCCACGTGCAGGGCAAACGCCCTATCTGCTGTGCTATCACTCCAAAAATAATTTTTTTTTAAGATTCAGGACATTGTATTATAAAAATAAATTGGTACTTGGCAACTTAAACTAATAGAAAGGGGCTGGAGTGGTAGTCAAGGGGATTAAGATGCTCACGGCTGGCCCAGACCCCTGCCAGGGGACATCCCTGAGTGTGGCCCCCAAGCCAAGCATCCACACAGGACAACAGTAATTCTCAGGGCTGGGCCTCGGGTCATCCACACTACCGCTCGGCTTCCAACTCAGTGATCTGAGTGACCCCAAGACCTGAAGAAGCGTGAGGCGGGCAGCATCCCTACCACCACCACGGACCCTCTGCCCCACCCAGCCCTGCCTCCACCACAAAGTGCAGAAATCCACCCGAGGCCAGAGGATAGCACAGTGGGTAAGGCGTTTGCCTGGCAAGTGGCTTACCTGGGTTCGATCCCCGGCATCCCATAGGGCACCCCAAGCACTGCCAGGAGCGATTCCTGAGTGCAGAGCCAGGAGGAACCCCTGAGCACTGCTGCATGTGACCCAAAAAAGCCAAAAAAAATGGGGAGCTGGAGTGATAGCACAGCGGGCAGGGCGTTTCCGCAGCCAACCTGGGTTCGACTCCCAGCATCCCATATGGTCCTCCAAGCACCGTCAGGAGTAATTCCTGAGTGCATCGCCGGGTTTGACTCAAAAAGAAAAACAAGGGGCTGGAGCAATAGCACAGCGGGGAAGGCGTTTGCCTTGCAAGCGGCCGGCCCGGGTTCGACTCCCAGCATCCCATATGGTCCCCTGAGCACCGCCAGGGGTGATTCCTCAGTGTAGAGCCAGGAGTAACCCCTGTGCATCGCCAGGTGTGACCCAAAAAGCCAAAAACAAAAACCACGCCAGCTCCTGTCTCCCAGAATGTCCCAAACCTATCCCTGGCCATGACCACAACCCCTCAAGTGCACCTGCGGGGCGTCCTGTGGACCCACACGCCCCTTGTGCATGTGCTCCATGCCAGAGGCTTCTCCAGTGCCTGCTCCATGCGCTCACTCAGGTACCTCCTTTTAACAACGTCCTGGCGCCTGGCGGGCACAGCTGGTATGTGCGTGCGTGTGTGTCTGCTCTGGAGGCGCTCAGTGGAGAGTGAAGCCGCAGCCCAGCGCAGCCCTCCTCTCAGTGCTCAGGGGAGGGAGTTCCCGCTCTCTGTCTCTGTGGTGGTGCTGCTGGGGCCGCGCCATGGTGCCAGGATCCCACCAACGTGCGCTTGGAGTCTCATTCGGCGTCCAGAGCCCAAACTTCTTTTTTGGGGGGGGGTAACACCCAGCGATGCACAGGGGTTCCTCCTGGCTCATGCACTCAGGAATGACTCCTGGTGGTGCTCGGGGAACCCTATGGGATGCTGGGAATCGAACCCAGGTCGGCCACGTGCAAGGCAGACGCCTTCCCCGCTGTGCTATCGCTCCAGCCCCGAGCCCAAACTTTAAAGTTTGTTGCGGGGCCATCCCGAGCAGTGCTCAGCGCTTACTCCCAGGGACCAGAGGAGGAGCTGGAGATGGAACCCGGCTTGGCTGCGTGCAAGGCAAACTCCATACCCACAGTACTCTCCAGCCCCAGGTTTAAAATTAATGTGTGGGGGGCAGGAAGGGCACTTGGCAGCACGTCCCCCCAGGGGCTGCTCCTGGTGGTGCTGGGGGGACCCTGCAGTGCTGGGAACTGCACCTGGGGCCCCCACAAGCAAAGCATGCCCTCTGGCCCTTTGGGTCATCTCCCTACCCCTATCATTCTTTTTTTGGGGGGGGTCACACCCAGCAATGCTCAGGGATTACTCCTGGCTCATGCACTCAGGAATTACTCCTGGCGGTGCTCAGGGGACCACATGGGATGCTGGGAATTGAACCCGGGTCGCAAAGCAAACACCTTACCTGCTGTGTTATCACTCCAGCCCCACCTCCATCATTCTTTTTTTTTTTTTTTTTTTTTTGGTTCTTGGGTCACACCTGGCGATGCACAGGGGTTACTCCTGTACTCCGGGCTCTGCACTCAGGAGTTACTCCTGGCAGTGCTCAGGGGACCATATGGGATGCTGGGAATCGAACCCGGGTCGGCCACGTACAAGGCAAACGCCCTACCCGCTGTGCTATCTCTCCAGCCCCCAACACCTCCATCATTCTTATCATTTAATTTTTTTTTGCAGGGAGGGGGTCAAATCAGGGACCTCACACACGTCAGGTGAGTGCTCCATTCCAGCAGTGCTCAGGGCTCTGAGCTTAGGGATCCCTCCTTGTAGCCTCAGGAAACCAGTTGGGGTGCCAGGGATCAAATCTGAGTTGGCCACATGCAAAACAAGCACCTTGCCCACTGTACTATGGCTCCAACCCAACTTTTTTTGTGTGTGTGTGGGGTGTCACTCCCTGAGGTGCTCAGGGAACCATATTGTCTTGGGGATGGAGCCCAGGTCTCCCGCATGCAAAGCATATCTACACACTCTGCGTGGAGCTTTCTGGCCCCGGGCTTGTAGGGGTTGCAAGACCCAGTGATGTCGTACAGCATCAGAGGGTCAAACCCAGAGCCTTAAGAGTGTTCAACCACATAACGCATAGCCCTTACTCTGATCCCAAAGTAGGTTTTTTTGCTTTTTGGGGTCACACCTGGTGATGCACAGGGGTTACTCCTGGCTCTGCACTCAGGAACTACTCCTGGCAGTGCTCGGGGGGACCCTATGGGATGCTGGGAATCAAACCGGGGTCGAGCGTGTGCAAGGCAAACGCCCTATCACTCTAGCCTCGAGCCCAAAGTTTGTTTTTGTTTTTGTTTTTTTTTCTTTTTGGGTCACACCCGGCAATGCTCAGGGGTTACTCCTGACTCATGCACTCAGGAATTACTCCTGGCGGTGCTCGGGGGACCATATGGGATGCTGGGAATCGAACCTGGGTCGGCCATTTTGGCTGCGTGCAAGGCAAACACCCTACCCGCTGTGCTATCGCTCCAGCCCCAGAGCCCAAAGTTTTTCAGGATCCCCTTCTCATATGATGCCTGGACTTTTTGTTTGTCTGTTTCTTGGTTTTGGAGGCACACCCAACAGTGCTCAGGACTTTTCCTGGCTTTGTGCTCAGCAGTTACTCCTGGCAGGCTTGGGGGACCATCTGGGATGCACGGAATGGATCCAGATTGGCTGCAGGCAAGGCAAGCGCCCCCCCCCCCCTCCATTATACTATTGCTCCAACCCTCCTCTCTTCATCTCTCAACTGGGCTCAACACCTGTCTCGGGAGAGCGTTTCCAGTCCCTGTGATGAAGCTGGTGATGTGGGGATGAGGTTGGCCGCTTCCACACAGCCCTCTCCGGCCACTCTGGACTCATTCCAGGCCGAGGATGCCAGGTCTGAGAGATGTTGCGTGTGGGTTTTATTCCCCCTCAGCCTAGGGACACCCGCCCAGCCCACCCAGGTGAGGCCTGGGTCTCGTGTGTCGTGGCGTTTCCAGGCTGCACTCTTCACTGCCGCAGATCCTCGATAAATGGCTGCCGGAGAGTGGCCCCAGCCCCAGCCCCATGCCGCCCGCCACCTGCCCTCCCTGCCTGGGCTTGTTTTTCTGTCCTTGGCTTAATGAGGCCCTGGAGGCTGCTGGCTGCCAGCAGGAGCCCTGGCTCTGGGTCAGAAAGGGCCTGTGTGTCCCCACCCTCCACCTTTCCCACGGCTGCTGAGTTCCCAGCCCAGCGCGGGCCAGCGGAGGGACACTGGGGTCACTCCTGGCTCATGCATTCAGGAATTAACTCCTGGCAGTGCATAGGGGACCCTATGGGATGCTGGGAATCGAACCCGGTCGGCCGCTTGCAAGGCAAATGCCCTACCCGCTGTGCCCCTGTTTTGGTCTTTTTGAGGGGCCACACCTGATGGTGCTCAGGGCTCACTCCAGACTCTGCACTTGGGAATCACTCCTGGCGGTGCTCCGGGGGCCATGTGGGATGCCGGGGATTGAACCCAGGCCGGCCGCGTGCAAAGCAACCTGTCCTCTCCATACTATCCTCTCTGGCCCCCTTTTTCGTTTGGTTAAGCCCCCATTAGTGCTCAGGGCTTATTCCTCGCTTCGTACTAAGGGATCACTCCTGGCATACTCGGGGCACTATCTGGGGTGCCGGGGATCAAACTTGAGTCAGATGTGTGCAGGGTAAGTGCCCTAACCATTGTACTATCCCTGTGGCCCCACATTTTTGTCTTTACCAACCCCCACCTCCTCCTTCAGAAAAAAATAAACACCAGAACCAAATAACTGCTAGAGGCCCGCTCAGGAGCAGGGTGGAGAGGGAAGAGCCCTGGGTGAAGGACTCAAGAACCCCGAGCACTGTGCCGGGAGCAGCCCCTGGGCACCACCAGGAGCCCTAGAACTTCCCAGCAGAAGCTGCCCTCTGGCCTGGTTTGCCAGCAGAATCCCTCCAGGGTCCGGCCCCTGGAGCAGGCCCCCCCAACCCCCACCCCACCTGGTCGAAGCCACAGGGTGACCCTCGCACCTGCTGCACTTGGGGAGCAAGACCCCCCAGGGCCTCTGAACGGGAGCAACACCCCCCCAGGGCCTCTGAACGGGAGTAAGATCCCCCCAGGGCCTCTGTAAGACCCCCCCAGGGCCTCTGAACAGCAGTAAGACCCCCCCAGGGTCTCTGAACGGGATTAAGACCCCCCCAGGGCCTCTGTAAGACCCCCTAGGGCCTCTGAACGGGAGCAAGACCCCCCCCCAGGGCCTCTGAACGGGAGCAAGACCCCCCAGGGCCTCTGAACAGGAGCAAACCCCCCCCCCCCCAGGGCCTCTGAAGGGCATCATTCCCACCCGGGAGGCTGCGAATGGGCTATGGGGCCCCGGGAGCAGGCCGGGAAGGCGGTGAGGCGAGCAGGCTACGTTGGCCTCTGTGGCCGGAGTGAGGAATGCCCCAGGATGCGGCTCCATCCTCGCAGACTGCAGAGGGAAAGGGCACCGGGCACTCCCAAATCTTTGTGGAAAAGCCCGCCTACTTCCTCTGTGGCAAGGGTCCCCCTCTCCCCTCTCTCTCCCCAGCAAATGGGATGGACTGGGAGCTGGGGCGCTCCCAGTGTCATGTCTTACACCACCCACGCTCCAAGTCCTTCACCCCTTTCGCTCAGGTGCTTGGCACGCCTCCTCGGGGCTGCTGCTCACTCCGCCTTCTCGTCGATGAAGATGGGGAGGAGGTGGGTGGGCGCAGCACAGGACCGGCGCGCAGGGAGCCTGGGTTCCCTCCTCAGCACCACAGGGAGCGCTGCCAGGACTAGCCCCAAGCCTTGCGGGGTGCCCCCACCCCCAAATGTAGATGGCTCCAAGGGCTCAGCCTCACATGGTCCCACCCCCCACCCCCAGCACTGCCAGGAGCCAGATCAGGCCCAAAGACAAAAAAGGAGGAAAAAGCAGACAAGTGTAGGCTGCAGGGGAGGCGTGGGGGGGGGGGGGGGGGGGCACAGAGGGCAAGACAGCAGGGAGGGCCTTTCCCTTGCACACAGCGGACCCAGGTTCAATCCCTGGCTCCCAAGGTGGTCCCCAAACCCCTCCAGGAGTGATCCCTGAGTGCAGAGTCAGGAGTAAGCCCTGAATATCGGCAGGGCGTGGGCTGAGAGACACACAGTAATCGTAGCCTTAGCAGGTGGCAGTGCCCACTTCTGACCTGGCAGGGCTCCCTTGGGGAGCTGACCCCACCCCAGGCCTGACCAGAGCCCTTGACCCCCACCCCCACCCCCACCCCAGGCCAGAGCTGCAGCATGAGGGAAATAGGGAGCAGGGGAGGGTCATCCCTGCTAGGAAGAAGGTGTCGGCATGCAGGGAGACAGACCAGTGGCCCCTGGCCAACACCATATGCCAAGGCCAATGTCCTGCCACTGGGGGTCGTTGGTTTTTTGACTCCCCGGCGGGACAGGCCTGGTAAGAGGGGACCTACGGTTAGCGGGGGAAGGAGTGACCAGCCCTCGGGAGGCTCCCTGCTGTCCTGTGTGTGTGTGTTGGGGGGGGGGTTTCCGTGGCCCCTGTTGTTTCTAAGCAGAGGAGACGAGCTTTGGGGTCTCGGCCGGGAGCTGGGCTGGTACCCCCTCAGCTCTTGAGCATGTCTCTGGGGCCCGGGGCAGGGAGGGGGCGGGGAGGGGGGCCTCACCGGGTCCTTGGAGGTGCCCAGTCGCTTGAGGCTGTCGATGGGGAGCAGGTCAGCGGAGTCCTGGTGCAGGAACTGTGTGGCCTGTTTGAGCCGGCGCTGCTGGCCCAGGTGGGCAGGGCCCCTCCGCGCCGCCACCGCCGCCGCCGCCGTTGCTGCCGCCGCCGGGGGTTCCCGGCTCGGGGCGCCCGCCTCCCCTCTGCTGGCCTCGGACCCCGCGCTCATGGCCCCGGCTGGGGCTTGCTGGGGGGACCGGAGGGGCTCGGTAGGAGGGAAGCGGGGGGGGGGCAGGCAGCCTCCACTTTCCTGAGACGCGGGGAGGGAGGGCTGGGGGCCGCCACCGCAGGTGGACACGGCGGGACCAGCGGGACCGTGCGTGCGCGCTGCCAGGCTTCACCTGCGGCCCGCGTCGGGGTGCGAGCGGGGGCGGGGGCTCCCGGCGGAAAAGGAGAGCATCCAAGCGCGCAGAAGGTTCTCGGCCCGGCCGGCCGGCGAGCAGTCTGGTTTCAGGACCGGCCCCCAGGGGTGCTGAGAGCAGCTCTGAATCTCCCTAAAAATAGGTACTTCTCTTCCTCCTCCTCCTCCTCCTCCCCCTTCCTCCTCCTCTCCCTCCTCCTCCTCCTCCTCCTCCTCCTCCTCTCCTTCCTCCTGTCCCGTTCCTCCTCCCCCCTTTCTCCTCCTCCTCCTCCTCCTCCTCCTCCTCCTCCTCCTCTCCTCCCCCCTCCTCCTCATCGTCCCTCCTCTTCTTCCTCCTCCTTTCTCTTTCTCCACCTCCTCTTCCTCCACCCCTTCCTCCTCATTTCTCCTCTTCCTCCTACCTCCTCCTCTTCCTCTCACCCTTTTTCTCCTTTCCCTCCTTTCTTCTCTTCTCCTTCCTCCTCTTCCTCCTCCTTTCCCTTCCTCTTCCCCTTCTCTTTTTCCTCCTTCCTTCTCCTCCCCCATCCCCCATCTCCATCCCCTTGCTGGGCTCAAGGACCCCCAAGTGGTGCTGAGAATTCCAAACACTGTAGCACTGTCCTCCCATTGTTCATCGATTTGCTCGAGCAGGCCCAGTAACGTGTCCATTGGAGACTTTGCTGTTACTGTGTTTGGCATATCGAATACGTCACGGGGAGCTTGCCAGGCTTTGCTGTGCGGGCGATATACTCTCAGTAGCTTGCTGGGCTCTCCGAGTGGGGCGGAGGAATTGAACCCGTCTTGGCCAGCTGCGCACAAGGCAAACTCCTTACCGCTATGCTATCACTCCAGCGGGCGAGCACCCTATCCAAATGACCCCTGATCTCAGAACCAGATGACCACCAGGTGCCAGTCCTGAACCCCACCAAAGTCCAGACCTTCTTTTATGGACTCGTGATGCAAAGCAGGTACATCTTTCCTGAACTACACCCCTGGTCCTTTCCTGACTAGAGGGCCCACCTAGTGGTGCTGAAGGTGCATTCTTGGCTCTTTTCTAAAACGTTCTCATGGAACTGGAATGGTCATACAGGGGTTAAGGCTTTGGCTTTGCACGTGGCTGATCCTGGTTTGATCCCTGGCCCCACATGTGGTCTCCTGAGCCCCCCAGGAGAGGTCCCAGAGCACAGAGCATGGAGTAAACCCTGAGCAAAGCCCTGTGTGGCCCAACACCCCCCCCCCCCCAATAAAAACTACTGGGGCTGGAGTGATAGCACAGTGGGTTGGGAATTTACCTTGCATGCGGCCAACCCAGGTTCAATTCCCAGCATCCCTTATGGTCCCCTGGGCACTGCCAGGAGTAATTCCTGAGTGCAGAGCCAAGAGTAATCCCTGTGCATCGCCAGGTGTGGACCCCCCCCCCCAAAAAAAAGTGCAAAATATTATCACTCACTGGCCAGAGAGATGGTGTTACAGACTTTGCAGGCTGAAGCCCCGGGTTCATCCCCAGCACTGCATGGTCCCCGCCCAGTTCGGCACGACCCTCCCAGAGATGGAGGCAACCTCTCACTGACACTGAGTGTGGTCCCAAAAACCTAAACTACACTGAAATGAAAATGTTAGCATTCTGATGTAAAGGAAGTCGCTCTGGGGATCTTATGCCTGGAAATGTGGATTCTGGAACACAAATAATACCATTCAGTTGTCCCTTTATTCAAAACAAATGCTTATACCCAAAAGAATCCAACAGAATAAGAAAAAAAAATAAAACGTTAACCTTCAACTCTGACAATGATAGTTGGAAATGATCACTCTGGACAAGAACTGAGTGCTGGGGCTGGAGTGATAGGACAGCGGGGAGGGTGTTTGCCTTGCATGCAGCCGACTTGGGTTCGATTCCCAGCATCCCATAGGGTCCCCCAAGCACCACCAGGAGGAATTCCTGAATGCATGAGCCAGGAGTAACCCCTGTGCATCGCCGGGTGTGATCCCCCCCCAAAAAAAAGAAAGAAAAAAGTGGGTGCTGAGAGCCAATAAAGTGATGTATGCAATACCCTTTCAGAAACAGTATTGCAAACCATAGTGCCTAAAAGAGTGAGAGAGAAATAGAGAGGAGAAAATAGAGACAGATGTGTGTGTTTGTGTGTGTGTGTGTGTGTGAGAGAGAGAGAGAGAGAGAGGGAGAGAGAAAGGTCTGCCCTGGAGGCAGGATGTGGGAGCCATTGGTTGCAGGAAATGTGCACTGATGAAGGGACAGGTGTTGGAACACTGTATGACTGAAACTCAATCATGAACAACTGTAATTGTGTGTCTCACTGTGATCCAAAACAAAACAAAGTAAAATAAAATGTTAGCATTCAGGGTCAGAGACATATCTCAGCATACCGGAGCATGCTTTGTGTGTAGATGGCTCAAGTTTGGTCCTTGGTACCACATGGTCCCTGAGCACCACTGAGTGCAGTCCCCAAACTAAAAAAATTTTAGAAACAAGTAGAAAGTTATATTTTATTTATTTATTTATTTTTTTGCTTTTTGGGTCACACCCTGCGATGCTCAGGGGTTACTCCTGGTTCATGCACTCAGGAATCACTCCTGGCGGTGCTCGGGGGACCATATGGGATGCTGGGAATCGAACCTGTGTCGGCCATGTTGGCTGTGTGCAAGGCAAACGCCCTACCCGCTGTGCTATCTCTCCAGCCCCTAGAAAGTTATATTTTGTATATCAAATGAATGTAGCCATTCTATATCTGTCCCTCTTCTTCTGACTTATTTCACTTAGCATGATACTATCTATGTGATCCAGATATATGCAGATTTCATGACTCCATTCTTCCTAATGGTTACATAGTATTCCACTGTGTCAATGTACCATAGTTTCTTTATCCAGTCATCTGTTCTTGGGCACTGGGGTTGTTTCCAGTTTCTGGCTCTTGTGAACAGAGCTTCAGTGTTCAGAGAAGTGCAGATGACATTTCTGCTGTGTGTTTTGGGGCACCCAGGATATATTCCGAGAAGTCTAACCCGGTTTATCTCTAACACTGCATATGGTTCCCGGAGCACTTCTCCTGAGTGCTCCCTGAGCACAGAGCCAGAAGGAAGCTCTGAGTGGTGCTGGGTCTGGCCCCAAAACAAAAAATAAAAATTCTATGATGACTCCCTTTTACAGGGGTAGAATCCACTTTAAATGTTAGGGTTAGAATGTGTCCTTTCCCCCACATTCGTATGTTAAAGTCCTGCTTCCCAGAAAGAACTCTTGTTTGAGGGCTGGCGATTGCACAGCGGGTAGGGTGTTTGCCTTGCACGCGATCGATCCAAGTTTGATTCCCAGCATCCCATATAGTCCTCCAAGCACTGCCAGGAGTAATTCTTCAGTGCAGAGCCAGGAGTAACCCCTGTGCATCGCCAGGTGTGACGCAAAAAGAAAAAAAAAAAAAAAGAAGGAACTCTTATTTGGAGAAATGGTCTTTCCAGAGACAATCAATTTAGACAAGTTAGGGTGAGCACAAAACCAATATGATTGTGTTCTTAGTAGAAGGGAAAACTTCTGTTTTGGAGGGCTTTTTGTTTTGTCTTGGGGCCACACTTGGCAGTGCCGGAGACGACTCCCTGGCAGTGCTCTGGGGACCATGTAATGCGGGGGATCTAACCCTGGCCTTCCTCGTGAGGAGCAGGTAAGGTGCTTAACCCATTGCACTTTCTCGCCAGCCCAAGGGGGAATATTTGGACGTAGAGAGATGCACAGGGCAAGAACATCATGCGAGCATGCAGGCACAAAGACACTGTGTCTTTGGCCCAAGGAATACCAAAGGCAGCCAACAAACCCCTAGGGTCCAGAGGCAAAGTATGGGACAGGCGCTTCGGGACTCCAGGAGGAAACAGCCCTTTCATCTCGGAGCTCCAGCCTCTGGAACGGTGAGTCGGTGAGTCGGTACGTTTCTTTCTTTCTTTCTTTCTTTCTTTCTTTCTTTCTTTCTTAATTGAATCACTGTGGGAAAAGTTACAAAGCTTTCAGGTTTAAGTCTCAGTCATGCAAATATCAAACACATTTCCCTTTACCAATACTTGTTTTTCACCACGAAGAACCCCTCAAACCCCCCCTCCCAACCCTCCCAATGCCTGTGAGGCAGATGAGTTCTAGTTAACACTCTATCTACTTTGATTAGATTCATTGTTTCCACAAAAGATGCACCATTATTATTTAGAGTTTACACCCCCAAATCAGACCTGCTGAAAAGGTATTGTGAAATAATTTGTTTTCTACAGCTGGTCACAAGAATCAAACGATGTCGCGCGGCCACTAACACGGCTGCGCAATTTTGGATTTCTGGTATTTTACTAATTAAGCCTGGAAGTATTTCTGCTGAGAGTCAGATAATTATGAGATTGGTTTCTGTGCTCTGGAGCCATGGCCCTGCCGGAGAGCCGCTTGTGGGGGAGCAACTCGTGACCTCAGTAGGGCGTGAAGAATGAGCCGGGAACGCCTCCCTTCCCAGCAGGTTTCAGTCGCCCCATCACAACCAGCTCATACCTGGCTTTCCATACAGCTCCGAAGCGGCGAGTCAGTACATTTTTTCTGTTTCTTTTTTCCTGTTTTCGTGTTGTGGATCAAATTCCTGGGTTCCCACCTGCACAGGATGCACTCAGCCCTTTGTTCTAGCTCTGTGTATTTCTATTTATTTATTTGCTTTTTGGGTCACACCTGGCGATGCACAGAGGTTACTCCTGGCTCTGCACTCAGGAATTATTCCTGGCAGTGCTCAGGGGACCCTATGGGATGCTGGGAATTGAACCTGGGTCGGCCGCGTGCAAGACAAATGCCCTCCCCCTTGTACTAACGCTCTGACCTCACCCCATTATTATTGCTAATATGTTCTGGCAGCGCCAGAAAACTTCCCAGAGACTTAGAAAACTTGCCTTGAATTGTATGGCAGAATCTGGAATCAAAACCTTGTGTTTTGTCACTGGATTCCTGCTCCATTTCCATTCTGCCAAAGAGCATACTGGGGGAGACAGTGTTAGGATGCGGATCGTGATCTCCCTTTAATGACAAAGAGACCCAGAGACTGCAAACAGCAAGGAAGGTTTATTGTAAGACTGGCTCGCCAGG